TAAACCAGTGGGTCCAAGCTAAGTAAGGTATTATATTTTCTGTCAAAATAACTTAAATAGAAAGAAACAGTGGAGGGGGGGAGTAACAGAGGAAAGGAGAAAGGATGCAAGGAAGATAGGAAAAAAAGTAGGAAAGAAGGTAGAAAAGAAGGAAGAAGAAAGAAATCTTTTTGGCCATTACAGCAACACATCTTCTGGTAATGTCACCAAGAAAACTGCTGTGCCTTTAGCAGTTAGGAACTTACACACGCCTCAAATTACTTTAGACAACTTAGAGCAGTACAACTTATTAACATTTTTTGGTCATTAGTAAACTGAATATCCTCAATCACATCCTGCTTGCCAGTATCCTTAGTCCAAACGAAGATATTCTGGACAATTCCACTTATGACATGAGGAAATGCTTTCACGGCAGCCATTCATATGTATTCATTTATAAATTATTCTGCCAGAGTTAACCGGGCCTTTTTGGGGAGATTTGATGTTGTCAAGAATTATATAATACACAGGCTTTCTATGGATTCTGGCTTCAGATTTCCTTTGCTTAGAATTGAAATTATCTATTTCATTTTCCTTCAACATATTATATTCTTTGAAATGCCAGACACCCTCAAAGGGTACTATTGAGTTCTTTTTCCAGTTACCGTGTTTTAAATTTTTAAATATTTCTTCTTCACTCTTAGGAGAGAAAAGATTAGTAAAGGAAACAAAACTCAATGAAGACTTATCGTTACTTTTCAAATATGATATTTAAATGCTATAATTAAAAAAATTCATTTATTTATTTTAGAGACAGAGAGGGAGAGAAAGTGTGTGTGGGAGGGGCAGAGGGAGAGGGAGAATCTCAAGCAGACTCCCCACTGAGCATGGAGACTGACATGGGGTTTGAGCCCCGTGAGATCATGACCTGAGCAGAAATCAAGAGTCAGACACTTAACCGACTGAGCCACCCAGGCACCCCTAAATTTTGTGATTTGTAAAGCAATAGAAGATACCACAAAGGGACAGGGAATTTATTTTAACAAGAGACAAATAATAAACATCAAAATAAAAACTGATGATACTTAAAGGATAAATATCTTTCCTATACGATGGATATATAAAAACTGTTACGATAAACACTAAGACTCCATAGAAAAACTGAGCAAAGGTAAATCCAAACCAAAAGACAATCCCCCCCAAAAAGATATACAAATGGAAAATAGTTAATGAACATATGAAAAAATCCAACTCCGTCAAGATAAGAAATACAATTCAAAACAAAAATGACATTTTTTTTCCTATCAGATTGACAAATGTGAGAACAGATAATAATCAGGGTCAGCAAGAGTGCAGTAAAATAGACTCTGCTGTACATTTGTGGGAGGATAATTCAGTAAAATAATTTTGGATAGGTAATTGCCAATTATATACCAAGAACCTTAAAATTGTTCATATTATTTAATTATACTGAGATATTTCTTCCAAGGGCTGAAATCACAAATAAATATGAGAGTATTTTTATGGAGATGATTATATGGATTATTTACCATGGAAACAAGGAAATCACACAATATACAATATATAAGATCCCATAATATATGTTATATATTATTATATAGTATGATAAACACTAGTGTAAAAGGTTAAATGAATATCTATATGAATTTAAAACTGTGAAAGAGAGGAAGACCTATTTGAGACGTGACAGAATCTGTTATGTTTCATTTGCACACACATGAAGGAAATATGCAGAAATATTAACAGTAACTCTCAGTTGTGAAATTATGAGTTTACTTCTATTTCTAAACTGAATGCAAAAATATAAAATGGCAAATAAATAATAAAGGCCTACATAGCTAGGGGAGAGAAAAATAAATTTCACTGTTCATATCTGAGTCTCCAGTGCACAGGGAGCCCTTGGAAATTACTTAAGAGCAACAATACATTACTGTTAGTTACAGCTTGCCCCGTTACGCATTTTTCTGCTAAACACAGATTCTTCAATGATCACAATTTATGGCACCTATGATTCCATTCAAATTTCTTTTCATTGTAATTCCTTTTGTCGTCTTTAGGCAAATTAAAAATCTTAATCCATTTTTATGGCAAATTCTCTATTTTCCTGAATCAACCTTTGACCTTTAACATAGCATCATGGACATTAGATTCCATTAATTTGATTATTCAGAAGTTTGTTATACAGAAAATACACAGAAATAAGTAACTAGACCAGAAATCGGTACCCAAACTGAAATGATACTATAACATAAACCTAAAGCACAGCATTCGTTTTGAGAAAAGGTAACAGGTGGAGGCTATAAGGGCAATAAGGAGACTCTCACTGAAGAAAGGAAGGACAGTAAGGAAGTCATTTTTGAGGACTGGGGAAAAAAAAGGATTCACAATAAATTACTATCAGAACCATGAGCTTGACTATGGCTGCAATACTAGGAAGGCAGCTATGCTCAACACTATACCACCAACGCTGGCTGCAATACTAGGAAGAGAGAAAATATACCTATCAACTTGTGGATCTGGCTAAGGGGATTTCCAAGCAAACACCTGACAGTGTTGTCACCTTTTAGCCATACATAATATAATTGTAAGAGAGAGATGAGCAAAAGAGAGAACAATTCAGGTTTTAAGCAGAATTTAGAGAATTTATTTCCAACTCAGGACTTGCAGAGTTGGAAAATAAAGGTTTCACGTTTACAGCGTCTTCATCAATGAAAACCTGGCAAGAGGTTTTCCAAGTAAGACGCTGTCTCAAGGAAAAGATCAAATTCAGAATGCTGTTTGCAAGTCAAGATCAAATCAAAGATGTAGCTCTAAGACCCATTGTTAAGACCTCTAAAAAATTTCAGAGACTCTCTTAGTTATATAAAATATCTAACAATCTTAAAGGTGTCCCATGGCATTTTAATTCTCAGCTAATGCTAGAGTGAAACAGCCTGTCTTGAAAAGATCTGTGGGTATGTATTTTATCTAAAGGGATGGGATTATAATTTGATACATAGAAATCCTACAAAATCATTTAAAGAGTTGTAACAGCCTGGAATAAAAGGGAAAAAAATGTTCAACCAATAGCTTAGAACCCCTGGGTCTATTTTAAATTGCTTGCCAGCCTATCACTAGTCTATACAATTTAGTATCATTTCACATAATAATAACAATCAGGAGAAAAATATTATAGCTAACTTTTATTGACCACTTTTTAAATACCAAGCATTGTGCTGACATTTTACAGGATATTCATTTATCCCTCCAAACAAACCTCTGAGTTTTTAAACTACTCAAACATTTTTATCCACATCTAGATTTTTATTCCAAGAACTTTATCAGAAATGGAGATGACATATTTATAAGATTATACTCACAGCAACATTATTTATACAAATAAAATCATGGAAGAACCTCAAAGTCTAATGAAAGAGAACAGTTAAATTAAGAATCTTTCAAATAGGGGCACGTGGGTGGCTCAGTTGTTAAGCGTCTGCCTTTGGCTCAGGTCATGATCCCAGGTCCTGGGATTGAGCCCCGCATCGAGCCCCACATCAAGCCCCGCATCGAGCCCCGCATCGGGTTCCTCGCTCTGCGGGAAGCCTGCTTCTCCCTTTCTCCACACCCCTGCTTGTGTTGCCTCTCTCACTGTGTCTCTCTGTGTCAAATAAATAAATAAAATCTTTTTTTAAAAAAAGGATCTCTTATATAATGGCTTATAATTAATTAATTGAAGCTTATGAGTTAATATAATCTCGTATTTTAAAAGTAGGAAAACTAAAAATTGGTGAGGTCATGCTTGTCTAAAAATAAAAAAAAAATGGCAGATACAACATTTCAATCCTGGTATTATGACTTCAGAAGACCCACTCCCAATCACTTCCCTATATTGGATCATGTTATAATTTATATAAGAAAGTGAATGGTACTATCATATCTTGTGTATTGGAAAACTTCACCCTGCAACAAAACACATCATGCTTTTTGTATGATTTACATGGCTATATACCCTGAGAGGGAACATGCATTCATTTCTGGGCATGCACCCAGAGAAGAAAGCTATGGGTTTCTCACTCATCCTTAGCCAGACAGTGGACCCCTTGGTCCAGCTGTCACAACACCGTCTGTTTCAGCCCCGGTGAGCTTTATCTAGGTTCCACATGACTGAGACAACAGGTCAGGAGAGGGCATCTTTTATGTGAAGGAGGCCTTGGTGAAACCTGAGAAGCCTTGCTGGTCTGTGTTGAATAAGGCAGAGCTTTAGCTGCACTAGCTTATATATTCCTTTACCACAAAATTGCTTTATAATTAAAAAAAAATGCTTATAGACTTTTCCTTTGTCAAAAATAGAAGAGAAAAAATGATGAAACTAAAAAAAAATCTACATTAATGAAGCGCTATAGCTGAGATCTGAGGCACGTACAAAAGTAAAAAATTCTAAGTTATGGTTCCCATAGCAACTGCAACACAGTTGGATTTCACTTTTATGTTTAAGTAAGTTTAACTTGAGTGGAGATGCAAAATACTTCCTCTGAACCAAAAAGAGAATTACGGAAAATATACAGACTGTGGTTCAGACTTTTCTGGCTTTCAAATGTATCAAACATTAACTCCAATATATATACATATTTTGACATCAAAGCTATATATTCATTTGTATAATACGATTTCAAACTATATTCAATTTATAAAATATGATTATTTAAAATGGGGAAATTCCCATCAAAATCTGTTAAATCAAAGGACACAATCTTATAGTTTGGAAATATAGGGGCATAGTTCTGTTTTTAATTACAATAGAATAGTCGCTGGAAGTATAATTTATGAAAACACAATCTGATTACATTCACTGTCAAGTGTTTTAAACTTGACATTTTCAATTACTGTAGATGTAATCTGAAACTAGGAAAACAACCTAATAGTACTTTATGGAGAGATATACATATAAATGTTCAAGACATTTGTAGTTTGCATCTTTATTTCAATTTTTTTTTTAAAGAAGCAGGGAGGGTACTTACTCCTGTTATGTAACGAGGTCTATATTGAATAGTTCCAAATAAACCAAGAATGACGATAATAATATGTACAAAATTTGCCAGGATAGGTGCCCACTGATATCCAAGGAAGTCAAATATTTGCCTCTCCAGCACACAAACCTAAAATAGCAAAACAGGATATATAGATAAGCACAGTGATGAGAGAGAGAATAAAAAGGATCACATTGTATTATAATTAGCAATTATAACTGTGTTACTCAATCTGGCATTTGTCTTTAACAGTGAGACTGACATTTTCAGGTATATTTCAAAGAAACACTATGGAAGTTGTAGATCGACAGACAGCTATAATCCTTTTAGGGATGATTTTGTGGCAACATCAAGCCATATTCACAGGATATCATCTGTGCAGTCTCAGGATAAATTATATTGTCATATGCACTAACACTTGGATTCATCAACCAGCAAGTTTGCAAAGTCCACACAAAGGGTTTGCTGTTAGGATCTGCTCAAATGTCATTATACAAGTTGGGAATAAAACAAAGGTGATTGATGTAGAGGAAAAATAAGTCGTCAGCAAGTCACCTGATCCGGATTCTGGACTTCAATCTGCCTCTCAACAGCTGTAGTCCCCTAGCTAAGTCTTCCCCTTCTTTGGGGTTCTGATTCCTCATTTGTAAAATACATGATTTTGACTAGCGTCTAGGGTCCTTCTACCCCAAATAGTACTGGATTATAAAATAAATATGACTTTTTTTTGTCATACTCTGTTACCTATATAACTGGCAAAAGGGTGCAACAAGGACATTAAAACAATGGGAAACAAAAATAAAAATAAAGCATCACTGTTATAAAAGCAAGGAACGTAGGTCATTTCAAATAATCCTACACTGATCTGTGCTCACAACTTTACAGTTAAGACATAGGTACAAATCTAAGGAGTGAGAGAAGAAAAATAAAACCAACCAACCAACCAGAAAACACAAGCTGTTCATCAGATCTAACAAAGCAAAAGGGGAATGGTGAATTAAACCCAGCTTTATCCTTCCTGCCTTCCCTCAGGTGGAATGATAATCAACTGTTTGGAGTAAAACATTGTGAAAGGACCTGATGATCTTCCACACAGAGATTCAATATTTTTTTTGGGGGGGGGCTAGGCTTTAAAGGAAAAGGATTTAAAAACCCCTCAGTTACTAACATCACTATGCTTTAATGATATTTCTTGTCAAAAGGACATACTAACTCTCAAAATAGACAGCGTGCTTTTAGTAGCTCACTTTGAAGATTTCTTGAATGATCATTATTCCCACTGCACTTCTTTAGCTGCACAGCACATTTTCCCATCAGGCTTTAAAAAAGAAAATCAATTCATGACAACTGTTTGCATAACACTTCTGTTTCCTAAGGCACACTGGGTACCATATAAGGGCTGTAATGGTAATCCAGCCTTGTCAAATCTTCATTTTCACTTAGTCTTGGCAGTGATTTAAAAAAGGGAGAATGTAGGTCTGTTCTACCTTGCATTTTCTAAATCCACAATACCCACTGGAGTTGCAAAAGTGGAACGTAAATAACACTGCACATGACTCCAGATTCATAAACTTTGAACTGCCTTCTGATGAAACATTTCTTCAACTGCTATCAGGCAGTCAACACTTCACATAAAGGAGATCCATTTGTGGTGTTAGGCAGTATTATGTATACCTTGTTTTTGAATCCATTAATGGTACCAAAAAATAAGTGTTTGTTCTCAGAGCCCCATTCCTAATCATCTGTATAAAAGCTCACTCCAACATAGAACTCTCTGTCTTGATCCTATGAATAAACAGTAAGTAGGAATGTAAACAGCAGCAAGAGGAATCTAAACTCTATAAATTTTGAGAGTCATAACTGTGGGGAAACAGCAGGGAAAAAGTATAGAGGATGAAACGCATTAGTCAAACAGTGGGAAATCTCTCAATAAATGCACCAATTATGGAAGAAAACAGCAGCACCATCGTTAATTATAAAAAATATATAGATGGTAATATACTTGCTAAGCCTGCATAGCTAAATGAAGTTCTATCAACATGTATTAGTCCTTTTTTACGACAGAACTAATACTTTCATCAAACATTACTTACAAGGTTATGCAGACTGAATAAGTTAATGTGCAATTCTTCATATAATATTTCTGCTTTTACCCGTTTTTGATTGGCCCTCTTAGCCATCATAAGTAGCTTTATCACATGTTCTGTAATTTAGAGCTGGGGACTGGAGAAGGGGAGATTTTCTGAAAAATTCAGAGAGTATAACGGGAATAACAATATATAGAAGTACTTGCAGGCTTTTCTATGAATTCCTTTCCATCTGAAAGCATATTAACTATGGAATTACTGGAAGGGTGATGGGGTTGGAGGCAGGAGAACAAATATTAGTTAAAACACTTAGCATGTGTTGGGCATTCGTGCTAATCCCCAGTCATGTATTATCTCATTGATTCTGTGCAAAACCCAGAGAGGTCAATACTGTCTTATTTTTCAAATTAAGAAATCTAAGATGGAGTGTGTGTCTAAGTGATTTTCCTGATGTCTTAGAAGTGATAAGTGCCAAACAAACAAACAAAACCCCAAAAATGTAGGACTCTCTGCATGGTCCCTGAGCCATGTCCTTATGTTGCAGACTTGTCCAAAAACAAAGTCCAAACCAAACCTAGTCCAAAAACAAAAAGCTTTCACAGTTTATGTTGTAGGTCTATGTTGTTTACAGGATATATGCTACGTTTTTACCTTACTTATTTATTGTGAAATAATGTAGAGAATTTCTTTGATCATACTTGTCAATTCATGACATTAGTCAAGGCAAAGTTCCTTTTTTGTTTTATTTTATTTTCTTATTTGCCTCCTTCAACCCATGTTCTCAGTTTATTCTCCTTTCTCCCATTGGACCCTCTGTAATATATTTGCTTTATGTCCTTTCCATACTCGGCATACAAATATATGTACATGGCCTTGAGAAAGAGATACAGATCTTCCTTGGCTTACAATAGGGTTATATTCCTGATAAACCTATCATGGGTTGAAAATATCATAAGTCAAAAATGCATTTAATACACTCACCTGCCAGACATCCTGACTTAGCCTGGCCTATCTTGAATGTGCTCAGAACACTTACATTAGCAAACAGTAGGGTAACACCGTCTAACATGAAGCCTATTTTATAATAAAGAGTTGGCTATCTCATGTAATCTACTGAATACTGTACCCACAGTGAAAACACGGAATTCTGTATGGGTACAGAATGACTGTAAGGGTACTGGTTGTTTACCCCTGTGATCTTGTAGTTACCTGGGAGCCATGGCTCCCTGCCTCTTGCCCAGTATAATTGGAGAGGATTGTACTGCATGTCACTAGTCTGGGGGAAGAACCAGATTCACAATTTGAAGTAACTTTCTAGTGAATACATATTGCTTTCACACCATCATAAAATCAAAAACTCGTAAGTCAAACTTTTGTAAGTTGGGGATTGTCTGTATTGATTTTGTTTCTATGTGTCATTTTCAAATAAAAGGTCTTATGGAATAAGTCTCTTTCATGCTTGTCTGTTTAGCTCTATATAAATTTAGTTCTTTGTGCTTGGCTTCTCGGTAGTAGTCTATTATTAATGCATAACTTGGTGCTTTTCACAAAGATTTTTGTTCTCTTAGAATACTATTATTTTCCCCCTTTTGATGGCTGCATACTATTCCATTCTATATATATACCACATCTTCTTTATCCATTCATCTGTCGATGGACATCTTGGCTCTTTCCATAGTTTGGCTATTGTGGACATTGCTGCTATAAACATTGGGGGAAAAATGAAGGGGGGGAAATCGGAGGCAGAGATGAACCATGAGAGATTATGGACTCTGAGAAACAAACTGAGGGTTCTAGAGGGGAGGGGGGGGATGGGTTAGCCTGGTGATGGTATTAAGGAGGGCACGTTCTGCGTGGAGCACTGGGTGTTATATGCAAACAATGAATCATGGAATACTACATCAAAAACTAATGACATATGGTGATTAACATGATAAAAAAGAATACTACTATTTATGAAGTTTCTATTTGTTAATATAAATCGAGGCTAATCTTTATCATTTATTATCTCTGCATCCATTGAGATAATCACTTTATTCTTTTCTTTTATATCATTAATGTGATTGTTTGTATTGATAGTTTTTGTCATGTTCAATTATCCTTTTCTTCCTGGGAAAAATCCCTACTTGAAATTTCATATTATTTTTACCACAGTTTCAGTTTGGGTTAAATAAAATTCTCTTTGAAAGTTTTGTATGGATAAACTGACCCATAACTTAATTATCTTTTTCTCTCTTTCTCTATCTCTGTTACAGAAGTTGCAACAGCCTTAAAACGTAAGGTACAACGTTCATTTAGGCACTTAACAAACTTAGAAGAAAACATCAGTTCTACTCCCTTTCCCCAAAAGCAACTTGTGTCAGTTTGGGGAAGCACTATTAAGTATCTAGCTTTTAAGGAAAATATTGTACGTACATGCAAGCATATAGACATTTATCTATCATATATATGTGTGTGAAATTTTTTCACATAATTTCATTTACATAAATAGGATTGCAATGTAGATGTGGCTTTTTATCTTGCTCTTTATGATGTTTGTGGATGTTTCCCTACATTACTACATCCGACATTATAGATCTACCTCATTATATCCTTATTTAAGCATTCTATTTTAACAGCTATTCATTTGGTTTTCAATTTTTGGCTATAACACACCTGAGTGCATGACACAACCTTGTACATGTGTGTTGGTACATCCATAGGCTAAATCCCCAGAAGTGAAAATGGTGAACAGCTGAAAATTCTGATGGCAAAATCCCAAATATTATAAAAAGTGTCATTAATTCTCTTTGATATATTGATTAAACATGAAAATGACTCCTCTCTTTTGCATTATAGTAAACATGAATTTTAGTAGTCATTGTTTATCTAGTAGAGTAGCTTCAACTGAAAAAGTTTTCATATAAGTACATTAAATAGAATTTATCTTACTAACAATGACAACAAATACTCATAAAAAGCACCTGTGAAATGCCTTTAGGATAAATGTATCTATTGACTTTTCAAACTGGAAGACACTAACTCCACACTCCTCAATGTACA